GTGCTAGGGGGGAGAAGGGCGGCAGACGGTCGGTCGAGGTGTTGAAAACAAAGAAGAACAAGATCTAAAACCAAATAACCAGGGGCTCGTACAAATGGTTTTTGATCTTGTCTCTCCTTTTTACCGCCCTTCGAGGGGCTGACCGATCGTCTGCCGCCCTCCTCCCCTCTAGCACTGCCTCGTGGCACGCCGGCCGCCGGACTATGATAGCAGCCATTGTGACCAAGGTGCTTATGATACATGGTCGTCTGGATCAAGACCTGCCTCTGTGAAGGTAGGAGTGCTCACCAAGAAGCGCACCTCCTTGTAAACTCGCAATCGTTCTTTCGTGATGCCGACACCATCGTACAAGCTGTCTCCTAAGGTGGGTGAAGCGATTTATCCTTGCATACGCGAATCGGTGGTTCACTCATTGGCGAGCACTTCTAGAGGGATACAGAGCTCAAGTCCACAAAATTTCCACCGGTGCTACATCAATGACCCAACTATTGGACTTCTTCTTCATTGTTTCTATGAAGAACGTTACGAAGCGCATCAAACCAAGAGCTTTGATGAACATTGTAGAATTCAACATGACACAGCGAGGTTTTATTTATTTATTTATTCTTTATTTATTTATTGGCTGCTCTCATGGTGCACCACAGCGATCCGGCAAATGTCCTGTGTTTTGTGTTGTTGTGTGTTGTTTTGATATGCTTGAAATTTAATAGGATGTTTTGTGCTTTTTGTTTTTCAAATTCCTTAAAATGCTCTTGGTGCAGGGCTGGATATGTTGATGCGAACCCAGCTTCTGTGCCACTTTTTCAGTCATGAGACATGACCGTTTTATCTCCGGTTGTAGAGAAGCAGCATGGATGCACAAGGTGTGCAGTTTGTGAACAATATGTGGGTTGCAAGCATTTTCCAGGATTTCCACCATTGTTGAGCTCCTTACAGGCATTTTACACACCTCTGACACCTTTCTGTCAGGCATGTCTTGATGTTCAAAATAAAACTGATTCATACAACTAATGTACAGAACCAGTCTTCCTCAAATAGGTGCGACAAGTGCAAATGAAAGCACCTGAACAAATGTTAGAAAAGGT